TAAACAATTAGCAATTGTAAGCCATGTTGCTATCAACGTGAGAATGAATAAGCACAATATAGTATATCTACACAAAGAAATACTGCGCAGCAATGAAAAGGGACAAAAAAATGAATGTGCAAAAATACAGTTAATTTTCAAAAGCATTATGCTAAATGAAAGAATCCATACAAAAAAATTGAAATGTATAATTTCATTTAAATGATATCCTAAGTAAGGTAAATCAAATATGCAATGAACAACAACAAATAAATCAGTACAATATTGCCTTAGGTAGGATTCATAGCATGGTTAGAATGGAAAAGAACAAAAGGAAAATTTGAGGGCTTATAGTAATGCTCTATATCTAGACAAATTTTTAAATACATAGTTGTATGCATTTGCCAATGCATACTATAGAATAGCACTTAACCTTAAAAAGGAAAAAAATAACAAAAAATAAAGCATTGAAATCTAATTAAATATATGCAGACTGAAGTATTTAGGGGAGAGTGTACCAATATCTGCCACATAGATTGAAAGGATTCAGATTATAAGATTAAGTATGGGTATACAGAAAGATAAATAGAGGAAAAGATGTGTGATAAAACCTGAGAGTAAATTATAGATTCTCAGTGGTAGAAATATGAGGGTTCACTCTACAAGTCTTTTGATATTTTTGTATGTTTGAAATGCTTTGTATTAAAATATTGAAATATTTTAAAAATCAGCCTATGATTTTATTTTGGACATAGACTTGGAACATTTAATACTGTAACTAATATTAATATAATTACTTGTTGCATCTTTCGAAGTGCCATAATTTTGAAGTGTTGTTTTCCTCAAAATGCCTTCTTTCTATTTGAATATATAGTGAAATAAGATCAGTTTCATATGCTATATAATAAATATAAAGAATTCTATGCTTCACTGTGCCAGTTGCAATATGTCTTTTTTTTTTCATTATATGAATTGGGCCTCTTTTTCATTGATATATTTAACCAAATCTTTTTTAGGATAATGTCGAATTCCACACTGTTGTCCCTCCTGAAACTTAGGACCAAACAAAAAGAGAACTGGATTATTGCCAGTATCTTTCTTTGTAAGTTTCCTTTAGCACTATCCATGAGATTTTTACTAGGAGTACTTCACCTCCTTACATGACCAGTTTACTCCTTGGCCTGTCTCGCTGGTTAGTTTGTGTTCCCTTAAATAATAATAATTGCTATTATCAATATGGATAATATTCATTAAGGGCTGCCAATGTGCCAAGCAATGTCCAAGTAGTTTACATGTTTTATCTCATTTAATCTTTACTATGCTGGGAGACATGTGGATTTTTATTTCCATATGTTACTATTTTCCTTCTGCCAAAAAAACTTCCATTAACATTTGTTATAGTCCATATCTGCTGCTTATTAATTCTTTCAGATTTATACCTAAAAATGTATTCATTATATCTTCATTTTTAAAGATGTTTTAATAGGTATAGAATAACATATACAATTAAAGAAAAATACTTGCAATTTTTCAAAAGATTTAGTAAAAATGATTTTTTGTTGCTGTAAGATTAACATGAGATGTATCTTTTAAACAAATTTTTAAGTGTATAATACTTTAAAATTATTAATCATAGGCACAATGTATTACAGCACATTTCTAGAACTTATTCATCTTGCCTAACTGAAACTTGTACCCACTAAATAGCAACTCTTGATTACCCCATCTCCTCAGCCCTGGCCACCACCATTCTCTTCTCTATTTTTATGAGTTTGGCAATTTTTGACACCTCATATTAGTGTAATCATACAGTATTTGTCCTTCTATGATTGGCCTACTTTGCTTAGGATAATGTACTCAAGGCTCATCCATGTTTTTGTCTTATTCCATATTTTCTCTTACCTGGAGAACATTTCTTCTTCCTTTCTTCCAATGGCTATGCACTATTTCCTTCACAATCCTATTTTCCAAAGAAATCTACCTTAACCTAACATATAGTAAACATAAATGATATATCCCTTTATGTACATTCAGGATTTATAAGATAATTAATTACATTCATAGAGTAACAAACATAGGAAAAGTGCTTAGGAAAAATTTAGTCCAGTGGCTTTAAAATTTATATTAGACATTGTATTATTCAGGGTTTTCCAGAGAAACAGAATAAATAGGATGTGTATATATACATAAAGAGCTTTATTATAAGGAATTGACCCATGTGATTATGAAAGCTGTACAGTCCAAATCTCCACAGCGTGAACCAGCAGGCTGGAGATACAGGGTACTTGATGCTACAGATGATGTCTTTAGGCAGTATGCTGAAGAAGTCCTTTTTCCTTGGGGAGGCCAGGCATTTCGTTCTATTCAGTCCTTCAACTGATTGGATGAAGCCCATCCACATTATGGAGAGCAATCCACTTACTCAAAGTTCACCAGTGTAAATTTATTTATTTTTATTTTATGTTTCAGTGTTTGCTCTTTATATTTTCCATTGTTTTCTTAGAGTGGTTGTACCTGGTTCAAAAGAAATGACATTTTATCACTCCTGATACATATAATGAATGTGACCGTTTTTTATTTTGCCAACTCGATAGGTGAATAATAGCACTTCATTATATTTTCTTTGATAATAGCTGAGAATGCACATCTCTTGAGTATGGCTCTTATTCACAGAAAAGGAAAAATTTTTTTAAATCTGTAAGCAGTTCCAACAGAATCCATTTCATTTTCTGTGTTTAGTTTTCTCATAGACCAATGTGTTTACCTTGGGCATATAATTTTTGCTTGTATACCTGCAAACAGACATACTAATAATAGATATTTTCTTTGTGTATTAAATATCTTTTTATTGTTTTTATTTTAAAAATATTTTAACTTTTAGGTTTAGGGGTATATGTGCAGGTTTGTTATATAAGTCAACTTATGACTTGGGGATTTGGTGTACAGATGGGTAGGCCCCAGTGTCTGTTCTCTCTGTTCATAAGTTCTTGTTATTTAGGTCCCTCTTGTAAGTGAGAACATTCAGTATTTGGTTTTCTGTTTCTGCATTAGTTTGCTAAGGAGATGGCCTCCAGCTCTACCCATGTTCCTGCAAAGAACATGATCTCATTCTTTTTTGCGGCTACATAGTATTCCATGGTGTATATGTACCACATTTTCTTTATCCAATCTACTATTGATGGGGATTTAGGTTGATCCCATGTCTTTGCTATTGTGGATAGTGCTGTAATAAACATATGTGCTCATATATCTTTATGGTAGAATGATTTATATTCCTTTGAGAATACAAATCCCAGTAGTGAGATTTCTTGGATGAGTAGTAATTCTGTTTTAGTTATTTGAGGAATTGCCACACTGCTTTCCACAATGGTTGAACTAATTTATACGCCCAGCAGCAGTGTGTAAGTGTTTCCTTTTTTCCACAACTTTACCAGCATCTGCTTATTTTTTTGACTTTTTATAGTAGCCATTCTGACTGATGTGAGATGGTATCTCATTGTGGTTTTGATTTGCATTTCTCTAATGATCAGTGATATTGAGCATTTTTTCATATGCTCGATGGTAGCATGTATGCCTTCTTTTGAAAAGTGTCTGTTTATGACCTTTGTCCTCTTTGTGATGGGATTGTTTTTTACTTACATGTTTAAGTTCCTGGTAGATTCTAGATATCAGACCTTTGTCAGATGTATAGTTTGCAAATATTTTCTTCAATTCTGTAGGTCTCTGTTAAAATGGTGTGCAGAAGCTGTGCAGAAGCTCTTTAGTTTAATTAGGTCCAATTTGTCCATTTTTGCCTTTGTTGCAATTGCTTTTGGCATGTTTATCGTAAAATCTTTGCCAGTTCCTATGTCCAAAATGGTATTTCCTAGGTTATCTTTCAGAGTTTTTATAGTTTTTGGTTTTACATTTAAGTCTTTAATCCATCTTTATTTGATTTTTGTATATGGGATAAGAGAGCCGTTCAGTTTCACTCTTCTGCATACAGCTTGCCAGTTAACCTATCATTTATTGAATGAGAAGTCCTTTCCCTATTGCTTGTTTTTGTCAGCTTTGTCAAAGATCAGATGGTTGCAGGTGTGTGGCTTTATTTCTGGGCTCTCTATTCTGTTTCATTGTTCTGTGTATTTGTTTTTATATAGTACCATGCTGTTTGGGTTACTGTAGCCTTGTAGTACGGTTTGAAGTCTAGCAATGTGATTCCACCAGCTTTCTTCTGTTTACTTAATATTGCCTTGGCTATTCAGACTCTTTTTTGGTTTCATGTGAAGTTTATAATAGTTTTCTTTATAGTTCTGTGAAGAATGCCATTGGTAGTTTGATAGGAATAACATTGAATCTGTAAATTGCTTTGGGCAGTATGGCCATTTTAACAATGTTGATTCTTCTTATTCAAGGGCATGGAATGTTCTTCCATTTGTTTTTATCATCTCTCATTAATTTGAGCAGTGTTTTGTAATTCTAATTGTAGAGCTCTTTCAGCTCCCTGGTTAGCTGTATTCCTAGATATTTTATTCTTTTTGTGGCAATTGGGGATGGAATTGTGTTCCTGATTTGGCTATCAGCTTGGATGCTGTTAGTGTATAGGAATGCTATTGATTTTTGTACATTGATTTTGTATTTCAAAGGTTTGCTGAAGTTACCTATCAGATCAAAAAGCTTTTGGGCCAAGACTATGGGGTTTTCTTGATATAGAAACATGTCATCTGCAAACAGGGATAGTTTCCTTTCTCTTTGCCTATTTGGATACCTATTATTTCTTTCACTTGCCTGATTGCTTTGGCCAGAACTTCCAATACTGTGTTGAATAGGAAAGCAATGTAAATATAAAATTTTTCCAAACACATCCTCTAAATTGACACTTAAAATTAATCATCACAGTCATAAAAGCTTTTGCAAATGAAATCTTTCATTAATGTAATTGCTGTTATCATTGTCATTGTCATCACCACCATCATAGGTAATTAATGTTATTCAGGAAGTTGTTATGGTCTTGGCACTAGCGCAACTGCTTTAGTTTTTTTTTTTTTTAAGATGTACTGTTTTATTTTTTTTTAAAGTTATTCTCAATGTTTCACCTACATATAAGCAAACCATAAAACAGGGTGTGATAAAATCAGTGGTGGAAGAGCCGAAGGTTCATGTGAGCGAGGATGATTCCCAGTTCATCGCAGGCCTCAATCACAACTTTGTCAGCAGCAGAGCCAGACGGAGCCGCGATGTACAGCACACCACTCCTTTTAGCTCTGTCTACATTACCTCTGAAAGGGAAGAAGGCATCAGAGCTGACAGAAACTTCACTCAGTTTGTCAACCCATTCCTTCTTCTCTGCCTCAGTGAGTAATTCTGGGACTTCCTCAAACAGGGCCTTCCACTTTATCAAGTCTTCATCCTAGCCAATGGTTCCAGTCACGTATTGATCAATGGCATTGGAGATTTCTGCTCTCTTCACTCCCGTTTTAAACTTCATCGAGAGCACTTGTGGATGGTATCTAAGCCACCAGTAGTTTGCCTTATCTCCTGCAAGGCGGGTGCAGTGTATACGAGACTGCTGTCTGGCTCCAATGCCAATAACCTGCTCGTTCTTGGCGTAGCACACGGAGTTGGACTGAGTGTACTTGACAGCAATGGTGGCCACGATCAGGTCTTGGAGGGCAGACTCTGGTAGATCTTTATTCTTGGTGACAACATTGCTAAATAATGACTTGTCGACGACACCATTATTTCTCTTCTGGCTTAAATGAAGACCGAAGAGAGTTCGAACTTCATTTTC